CGGATTTTGAAACGAATAAAAGAATACTCGGGATGTTTCTTAGCTAAGTTCAACTATAACCCGTATATAATTGTTGGGTTTATGGTAATGAAATAACCAGTCATTAGAAAGGGTAACGACATAAACCAACATAGCAAACTAGCAACACCTGGTATACTTAGACTAGGGGCGATGGGATTAATTGACAGCTGATTGCAACATTTTTTAAGCCACAAAGAATACCCAGCTCCCAGTTACTTAATCCCATCGCCCATCTGGCTGTATCGCCCAATCAATTTACGAGAGGCCCGGAGAGGCTTAAATCATCGAGCATCGTCGAACATCTGGTTGCAAATTGCTTCTACTTACTGGTTGGTTCATGTGGGGTCCCATAATGGATAATTATATATATATTATATACCCATAGGATCCATGTATGGTATATTTACCTACATTTGGGTCATTTATGGGGTAAATGTTGGTAAATATTCCATGCATGGATCCTATGGGATAATTATATATATATATATATATATTACATATACATGGTTTCCATTCAATTGCTCAGTAGAATTCCCCAAAAAGGTGTCTGAAAATTGGTGATCCCGAAATCCATTGGTTGACCAGAATTTTCCCTATGGAATCTGTACTGCTTGGTGGTTGACCTAGCCCTCTGAAAAATGATGGAGTGAAAGTCAGTTGGGATGGATGGAAATTCCCAACTGAATGGAAAAAAACATGTTCCAAACCACCAACCAGTAAATCATCCAAAGGTATATCCTACTTAAACATGGTGATGTTCCATTATTTTCCATAGTGTCCCTCTATTTTCCAATGTTCCAATGACATTTTATGGGTGTCCCTATTTTCAGACATAGCCATATGATTCCAATGATCAATCCATAAGCGTCCTTTAAGATGTCGTGCAAAGACGTTGGTCACGTTGGCACCTGAAATTCGCGTCGTTTTTCACGGGTGACTGGCCCATGGGGATAAAAAAAATATGTGTGGCCCAAGTAACAGTGAACTACATGGGAGTATAACTCCTAAAAATCCAAAGGATTTTTTTGTCACTTCAATGATTCAATGAGGTTTTATAATCCAGTTATACCATCTGGTCATTTAACATAGCCATGGAAAATCCCCAAAATCAATGGAGGTTTAGCAAACGCTGGGAAAATCATCTATTTCGATTAGGCTCATGGCTTAACCATGGCTATGTAACACTCATAACCAGAGGGTAACTGCTATAGCGGGCGATCACAGAGCGCCAAGAAAATCATCTCTGGATCAGTTCTGGATCAGTCTACGTTAACACATTGGAAGAGCCTTACCCATACGCGAACCATGGTGCTGGAATATGAATCCCCACCTAGAAACCCCCAAAATCCACCAGTTTTGTAGGTAAATATTCCACACATGAAGCATCTGGGTTATATAAGTTGTGGCCATGATGCTATATCTTATTTAAAAAAAAAACATATTATTTTCAGCATCCCAGGTTTCATAACTGGCTGTAGTAAAAAAACGCCGTTTAAAATGGGATAACCGAATGACCCGGTAGAACTGGGGAGTTTTCATCAGGAACAACTTGCTTTTTGTGGGATGATCCTCCCACCCAGATGCTCCGTGAAGCTACAAGCGCAACATGGCGGAACCAGCAAAAATAGGAATATGTAGTGATATGTAGTGGGGATATATTTGGGCTGGAGTATTTACCGAGATAAATTTAAGAGACATGAGCCTGTTATATATATATAAGTGAATATGCCATACATACAACATATAGGATATCATCCAAACACTTCATAATATAGAACATATACGTATTATATTGGCTGCTATATACCTTCAAAATAGGATTTGGGTAATATACCCTCTGGTAAATTAACATAGACCCTGGCATTTTTTGGGGTTGGAAGATTAGTTTCCAATAAAACCGGACAATTTTAAGGGTCTATGTTAATTTACCAGAGGGTATGTAGAATATGACGTACCAAAGTAACAACCTGTCCCAGTCGTAGAAATGGGCCACTTGAAACACAATTTTCGAATGATTCCCCGCAATTAAACAAATGATTCCCGTGACGTCGCAGTGAGGTCGCTATAATTTATCCATACTAATGACTAATGAAAACAAACCATTTACCAACTTCAAGGCCTGTTCTTGTTGGTTCCTGAAAACCACATTCCCGTTGGTCAAAGACATCGTTTGTCGGTTTTATCACCACTTTAGTTTGTTGCACTTCCAATTTTGCAGATTCACAATCTGGTCACTAACATTAATCAGCAAATTGGCAAATTCTATCACCATTTTATCACCATTTCAGTCTTAAAGCCGCAATTTTAAGATTCTTTGTTGCTCATTGATCAATTTGGTGTGTCTGAAAATGGGTGCTGCGTACCTCACAAATGGCACTTGTTACATGGACAATGATGATAAACTATTGGATTTATGGGCACTCTATTTTAAACAAATCCATGCAAATCCTATTTCTGTGTCCATGTTCAACCCCAAGCCTAGGATTTCAATCTTCAGTTTCTATTCCTTTTATTTATGTAAATATTCCCCACAGATTTCTGAGATTTTCTCAAACACCGTCCCAGATTCTAGTACCCAATGCTCCATGTATGGAATATCTACCAACATAAAAAAAATCACCCAGTTTTGTAGGTTTTTATAAACCATACATATCATACATGGAGCATATTAGGGGTAGGTTCTATTATCACGGTTTCCTTGCTCCATCTCAATTTGTCCCAGATCTGTGCATTCCCACCACGGATGTTTGAGAACCTTTGCAGCTGTGGGCCTGTGGCAGACGGGATTCTCAAGTTGGCCAAACAACCAGAAATCAATGGTGCTTTCCCTAGAAAAACAACCATTTCTTATGTAGGGATTCTTCACAAAAAAATAGGGAAACACCAGTCTTTTAAGGGTCGATTTGTTTTCCAGGAAACTTAGTTTGCTTAATTACAGTAGTTTTTTTTTATCCAGTATCATAATTATAAATATATTTCTAGTTCTTTGGTCTTCCAGGATGTTTCTCAAATCTCAAGGGCGTGTAGTTCTTGGGGGATCGGCGGCACTTCTGTCCCTAGAAGCCTCTCTGGTTCAACATGGCGCACTCCGCGAACTGGAAAATCACGCTGTTTTTTAACATAATTATATATATATAGTAAATCCTTGCGTAAGTCATCATGTTCATCCTTGTTTAGCATCGATAATAAATGAACCATTTTGATCATTTTTGAATAGCTATGGCGATGTTCAATTGCCAGAGGGTGCAGGGAAAACAAAATTTCAGGGTCAATCCATCTCTGGCTGATTTTTTCCATAATTCATTGAGGGAAACCATGAATAAATGCAGGTTCACGGCTAGAAAGCTCATCTATAAATGGGGAAATTATGCTGATATTACCTGTATATATACAAATACTAGCTGAATGTATCATAATTATTCATAATTCGCTTGCCAAAATTAAAAAAAAAACGCGATTTTGGCATAGCTATATCCCAATCTAAAAAACCCATCAAAACCCAGTTCCGTGGCGGAAACGCCAGTCGCTTGGGCCTTTTGTCAGGGTTTTCCTGCAACAATTCCAACAACAGCTCCATCGCTGCCTAGACGAGTCGTTGCACGACGAGTCACGTCATGGAAGTTTTCACACGGCAAGGGTGTTGGTATGCGGCAAGCTCCCTAGTGGTGACCCAACCCCAATGAGTGTCACGTTCTTTCACCACCAAAAACCCAACGGTGAATCATGAATGAACTCTTTAGCAACGTGGCGATTCGGTTTTGGTGACCAGCATGGTGAATGGAAGCGAATGGAAAAGATCGACAAAACGTGAATCCAGAAAAACAACTGGCTTTGCGTGAGAATATGTATCTAAAATTCTCTAACTCCAAATCCAGGTTTCCCATGACGGATCCATGGTGCTGGTATATATATGCTAACATGACTGGGGTATATTGATGGGATCCATGGCACACCATATATAGCAGCACCATGGATCCGTCATGGGTTTAGCATCAAGTTTCTCAAACAACCCCTTGGATTCCGTGCGTCCGACTGCGATCAAGTTCCCGGACCACACATAAAAACAATGGCCCGTCTCAACTTCACCAGGTACAAACGTGGGATTGTGGCTCCTAATTCTCCTAATTCACATAAACATTCTTAAGCCAGTTAGAACTAGTAAAGGGGCAAAACTCTACCATATTCAATCTTCTTGAACTATTAACTATCCACTAAGAAATGGCAACGTTAGATGTTGAGCCAGTTTTTACCCTTAAACTCTTCGGGGAAATCTGCCAAAACAACGTCGAAAAATCCTTGGGCCAACAAAAAAACCATGGGACTGTGTCAAAGCCAAAAAAAAGCACCCTTCTGTTCACATCGAAATTGCATGGTATCTCTGTTGTTTTGCTGGATGTCAATCGACTGAAAGATTGTCATACAGGTCTTGCCTGCGCACTTTTTGGGGATGAAATAAACACCAGAGTTTGGGTTTGGGATATCCCGCTATATATATATAGGGTTATACCGTAATACCGTGTTATATCAGTTATATCCCCATAATCACTATTTCCCACAAATATTTGGGCTGTTTTTATAGCTATTGAATGTGGAATCACCAATCCCAAGTAAACAAACCCCATGACCCATGATACACCCACTCCCATCGGTTTATACCTTGTGAATCAAACAACAGTCTCTGCTAGTTTGAATGTCACACATCCAAGCTGCAATAAGCCGCACTAAACAAAAATTACTCTGACTTCATGATGCTGTTGCTATCCCCATCTCATTCCATCTTAGTTTAAATCCCCGGTAGTCACATATCATATATATACACACATATTTACGATATGTTCATTATCATGTACATTCATTTCCCATCATTTCCCTTTTTTTTCTCGGAATCTTCGATTGTCCGAGAAAAAACATGTTCAACAGTTCTTCAACTACCCCCCCAAAAAAAAAACTTCAGCGTTTCTTCAACAGTTCAACGGCTTTCAATCGTCGCTGCCCCACCTTGGAAGTGCGTGACCAAGTCTCTCCTGTATAGGTCACTTCGACCTGGACTGGAAGGTTTTTTTTCTTTGCGAATTCGATGAGCAAATCATCAAAATACCAGTTAGATCCAGTTAGGTGTTACAGTTAGATGTTACAGTGAGATGTTACAGTTAGATGTTACAGTTAGATGTTACAGTTAGATGTTAAAGTTAGATGTTAGATGTTATGTAAGTCATTTAATTATCCTGTGAAATGATGAAATGAAGCATTTTCCAATGCAGTACACCAAAGATATAAAGATTGCTAGTCACCACCGTGAATGTGATTACCAAGAAAAATATCACCATCATACATAGACTTATGGACTTAAACAGACCCAATCCCTTTTTCGCTGTGGGACTTATGGGAATATATGGGAAATGTGATCACTGTGAACGTGATTACCAAATCATATCATTATCATAGAGTTTGATTGCTTTACCCTCTGGTAAACTAACATAACGATGGAAAATCACCATTTCTAATGGGAAAACTCACTATAAATGGCAATGTTCAATAGCTATGTTAAATTACCAGAGGGTAACTACATTCCCATATGCTCCAGGACATCGCGAAATACCACTATCATCGGGCCATTTCTCGGGACAAAAAAGTGCTCTTCTCCTGGCTGTTGGTTACATCTTGGGCGCCCATCCCCCCATCTACGAAACGACGTGTCTACCACAAATCCAACACGAAACCCAATGATAGATCAGATTAGCTACAGAAAATCACATATCAATCCTTGTGTTTGTGTCCTGAATCCCCATTTGCCGTCATGTTTGAATGTTTGAATCCATGTTTATCCTACAACTAATAAGTATAATCACTAATAAATCCACTAAACACATCGAACCGATTGGGTTGCTCCGCTGCTCCTTCATTTGGAGGTTTCCAATCGATGACGGTACCCCCAAATCATGCAAGTCATTAGACCATGACTTAGTATTTACTGTATATAAACCCATGGTGACTTAAGGATATGTCACCCATCGTTTTATGAAACCCCCGTATACAGATTTACAATCATCCTGAAATAAGAACTCGTCAGTGAATATGGGATGATATTCAATGATATTAAAAAACACAACTGGATGGATGTTGCCTGATGTTGCTCCATTGCTCCGTTACCTCCGTTGTTTCACCCACCAAAAACGACGGGTCCAACGCTCCGTCACCGCACGCTCCGTTGCGATCGTCGTGCCTTGCTCATGACCTTGACCATTTGATGGTAGGATGAGGCCTTAGGGATCGGGACAGGTTGACACACAGAGCACGGTGAGCTTGAGTTGACATATATATATATATAATTATATATATAAAATAGTATGTGTATATATATATATATGTATATATATATATATTATAATCTAGGACTGCATAGATTTAGGACTATACATAGATCTTCCATGATATTCCCATCTAGATTGTTGCTTCACAGAAGTTTTTTCTGCAACGGACTTGGGCTCCAGACTTCAAAGGGCCTCCGGCCTGCGAGGAGGGTATAGATGGCTGCTCCAGCGGACCACAGATCGGCAGGCTTTCCATAAGGACGCCTCAGAGGTCTGGCCCAAAACTATCAATGGCCCCCAAAAAAGTGGTGAACGAAATTTGAAATGGGAAAATGGGATGAAATATGTGCTGCAACTAAGATAACTAATGACTAAGGTTAGTGAGAGTGAAGAATATCATAGTAGATAAGGATAGAACATGGTTCCAGGATGCGATTTACATGATATTTATTTCGCAATTTTACAACTTTTCTGCTGTCGGGTTGCTGCATTTACCCTCCAGTAATGTCACAAATCACCCATTTCTTTCGATGATCTTCCATGATTGTCCATGTTTCTCGATATTTTCCGTTAAAAAAAACATTAAAGTCCTTCCGTCATAGCCCTTTTCACAGTTGAAACTGGCTTATAACCTACCATTTAAGTGACATTTTTCACACCTTAGTTGTATTTGGGCCGCAACTCTTGGGACATTTGGGCCGCGACGACTCACCATGGAAAACCAGAAAACCATAGAAAACCTGGGTGCGCCCGACCCACGTACGACCTCCGGCGCAGATGTGGAAGGTGAACCGACTTGGTCCAGCAGAACCTGCACGCTGCAAGGCTCGAATATGGGGTAGGGCTCAACTGGGATATGAATAAATCATCTGTAAATGGGCTAATCAACAATATATGGGGATAAAAATATAGAATTGGGATATTCTTACCTAATTTCATACTGGACTGTAGTTGAGTTTGGACCGAAAAATGGGGTCTACCTTCAGTTTATGGCTATTGAAAAAGGATTCAAAAGGGAGAATTAATTTCTAAACCATTTTGAGGAGTTCCCAACATATTCAGTCAAACCTAGGTTTTTAATGTTATGCCCCAAATCAAAAGGTTGTAAACGACCTTGTACTTCCTTAAGAATGGCTGATTCGTGGTGGATTCGCATGGGAAAATCCAGGCCATAGGTGACTCTGATTGATGAGGGCGAAGTTTAAGGCTATTCACAAATAACCATGATTAACTAAGGCCTTGTCAACCATGATTCACCTTCTATCCTTGGCGGAATCCTCATTATATGTTGGATCTTGTCAGTACTGAGGGCCCACTGCAACAGTCTCACCTGCTCCATTTATATGGGCCCATGTTGAGGATAAGTGATTGGTGGTTTTAACCATCTTGAAAAATATTAGTTAGTGGGAAGGATTATCCCATATATTATGGAAAAAATGTTCTTGTTTGCTCTGGTCGCAACGTTGCCGGGCTGGGTAACGCAGCAGTCGGCCGAACCAGTTAAAAAATGTTTGAAACCACCAACCAGTTAAACATTCCAGCCCCATGAGCTATGGGAAATCTGGGAGTTGTCGCTGGGTTATAAGAAAACCAGCTAGTCAAGTGGTCAGTTTTTCTAGTTTGTACAGTTAAAGACCTTTTCACAATTGGTTTATGATTTCGTTTAAGTGATATATGGACAAATATATAAATATATATAATAATAACAATATATATATATATATAACCTATGTTACAGAAGTTTTTGATGATCCCATTTATAAGTTAGCAGTTGGGCAATGTACATCCATCCATTCATCCATACATACATACATACCTTACCTTAACTTACCTTACCTTACATTAGATTAGATTAGATTGGATTAGATTAGATTACATTACATACATACAAACATACATACCATACATACCATACATACATCACATGCGTTACATATACTACATACATTACATACATTACATAAGTTACATATACTACATACATTACATACATTACATACATTACATACATTACATACATTACATACATTACATACATTACATACATTACATACATTACATACATTACATACATTACATAGATTACATACATTACATAGAACTAATATATTACATACATCACATACATTACATACATTACATCTATTACATACAATACATAACATCACATGACATAACATCACATGACATAGCATTACATTACATTGCAATACATACATACTTACATTACATTCACATATATATATAATATATACATATATACATGAATCCGCTAGTTAACATAGAGTCCAAGTAAGGGACACCATATTCATATAAACAATATAAAGCTCTTTTACACGGTTGTAAGTTGTAACCCCCCAAAAAAAAACCGAAAATGTGTTTCCGGGATGTGAACTAGATGATATTGACTTGATATATTGGGGTGGGTCAAAACCTATTGAGTGAGATGAACATCAATTCCTATTTTGGGGTTCACTAGGTACCAGGCTTTTGACCCAGTTCGCCATATGTCCGGCCTCGTCAGGCATAACACATGCAGCCAGTCCAAAGTCTCCGAGTTTGTAGGTGCAGTCCTTCGGCCGTTCCCCGGTCCCGCCGTGGCTGGAAAACCATGGGTTCTGAAGTCATGGGGGAATACCATGAAATGGCATGAAATGGCTACTTGTTTGTGCTATGATATTAACAACATGCATTCGTCATCATTGGTCAGATTAGTCATCTTATATTTGACTATACGGGCCATATGTTTACCGTAAAGACCTAGCCATGATTTACAGTAGGAACCAAGGGAACTTTCCCAACCCCTGACTAGCATAGACCCTGAAAATCTTGCTTATTTGGAGGATAGTAGTCGTCCAACCCCGGTGGATGGCACGATCCAAAACTAGTTAAATGATGTTGAATGGAGGGTCAATCCCATTATATAAACTATCAGTGCCATAGACTATATATAGACCCTGCCAAATAGGAGGCTCGAATACTACGTTCCAAGCAAAATGGCTGATTCATGCTGATTCTAGTTGGGGGGATTTTTAAAAAATATTTCTGAATAAATCATGTAACAAATAAAGAGCTAGACAAATTCATCAAACTCAGACCAGAAACGATCTCGGGCCAGTGAAGTCGCCATCCACCAACCCACCATGAATTCCATGCTGAATCACGTGTTCTATCCATCCAAATTATTCTTGTTCAAGAAACAAAACCATGGAAACAAGAATCAATTCATATTTCTATTCCCGAATGCGTAGCAAGGGTTCCCGTTTCACTCTGGGGGTCTGGGGGTTGAGGGTGTGTTCGCTCGTCACTTTTGGGGGTTTCAAACGTCGCATAGCTGCGTTTCGCGTGGCAAGCGTGGCACTTTGTGACATTCAGACATGTTTCACAACGTGACAAAAGTCGTTTTGTGTGGCAGGCGCAATACTTTTGCGACGTTTTCAAAAGATGCGTTGCAGTTATCGTAGCAGGCGCAGCACTTTGGACGTGTCCATCTTCATTTTGCGTGGCAGGTGCAGCACTTTAGAATACTTTAGACGTGTCTTGTGGCTCGTTTTTTGCGAATCGCATTGTCAGGGCTGCGTGAAGTGGTGACAAGGTGCAAATTCCATTGCAGGCGTGGCATTTTGTGAGATGTGCTGAAAATTGACGGAAGCCTCGCACGAAACATCGATTTTGAAGTTGCAAATTTTGAGGTTCTAAGGAAAACTCGTAGGAAAACGTCGATTTTGAAGCTACAAAGTGTGAAAATTGAAGGGCGTCTCGCACGAAACGCTCGTTTTGAGGCTCCAACATGTCTTGTCTCGATTCTCTGGATTTCTTCTGCCGTCGCCGTGTCTTTGGGGGAAGCTGCAAAAGCTCTCCTTTTTGAAGGTTTCCAAGCAGGTTGTAATGTCGTGGCAAGCATGGTACTTCCTGACGTTCTCACGTGTCCACAAACGTGTCGACAATCGTTTTGTGTGACAGGTGCAATACTTTTGCGTCCTTTTCAGGCAATGAGTTCCATTTTTCCGTGGCAAAGGCAACGCTTTAGAGACCTCCATCGTCATTTTGCACGGCAGGCGCAGCACTTGAGACGTGTCGTGTCGCGTTGCATGTTATTTGGGAATAGCATTGTCAGGGCTGCGTCAAGTGGTGACACTCCACACTCAAGACTTTAAACTTCACGTTTTTCATTTTACACTCCACTCTTCACACTCCACACTCCACACTCTACTCTTTACACTTTACACTCCCCACTTTACACTCCACACCGTACACTTTACACACTTTACACTTTACAGTTTACACTCCACACTTTAGACTCCACACTGCACACTCCACACTCAACACTCCATACTCCACACTTTACACTCCACACTTCGCACTCCACACTTTACAGTTTACACTCCACACTCTAGACTCCACACTGCACACTCCACACTCTACGCTTCACACGCCACACTTTACACTCCACACGTTACACTCCACACTTTACACTCCACACTCTACACTTTACACTCCACACTTTACACTCCACACTTTGCACTCCACACTTTACACTTTACACTTTACATTTTACACTTCACACTCAAAACTCCACACTTTACACTTTACACTCCACACTTTACACTCCACACTTTACACTTTACACTCCACACTTGTCACTCCACACTTTACACTCCACACTTTACACTCTACACTTTACACTTCACACTCTACACTGCACTCCACAATTTGCACTTTACATTTTACACTCCACACTCAACACTCCACACTCTACACTCTACACTCCACGCTCCACACTTTACACTCCACCGTCTACACTTTTCACTTTACTTTTTGCACTCCACACTCTAGACTTGACACTTTCCACCCCACATCTTACAGTTTACACTCCACACTGCGCAATCCCCGCGTCACACTCTACACACTACCTTCGACACTCAACACTCCAGTTTCTTCACACTCCACACTTTGCACTCGACCCTCTTCCGCATTCTACAGTCTACAGTGCACTGGTACGGTAACAGGGGACAAATGCACAAGACTGTTCAAACAGCTTGTTTCACAAAAGTGTTGTACGTGACTGCATTCGGGTTCGTGGGCTGCATCTGGTCTATTTCCATGAGTTTTTTTCGGTTGGAAATCCATTCATCCATACCCTCTGGTAATTTGTCAAATAGCTATTGAAAATGACCCAGTCGAAATAGTGGATTTTCCCATTAAAAAATGGTGGATCTTTCCATAGCTATGTTAGTTTATCAGAGGGTAAATCTCCCATTAAATCCCATTAAATCCCATTAAACCACCATTTTCCTATGGTTTTCCTATGGTTTTCCAATGGTTAAACGTGGAAAGCCAAGACATCATGACATCCCACTCCTCCAGCGCCAAAGTCTGCGGCGCCTGGCACAAATTTCCAGGTGTGTTCAAAAGGCCCCCTATCTGGAACTATCTCGAAAAAAACAAAGGATCTATAGCTAAAAACATATATATATATATATTATATATATTGTATAATACCAGCAGTTGTGTTACATGAATTCAAGCGCTTCATGGCGTGTTCACGACCTAGGCGTACATAGTTATATATATATGGATGTGGGTCAAAATGGAAGACCATTAATGGGACCACAGATGTGAATGTCTAGTTTAGTATAAAAACCATCCAATTTAATTGGGGTACCTAATTTTGACCCATACCCATATATATATATATATACCTGCATCCTCAAAGTGGTTCCCTTTTTTGGCCTCTTTCTGAAAAGGCGCCTTTGGAAAATCAGAGGCAAATCTTAATGGGTAGAGGCATTTCTTTGCTTTCAACGATTTTCACCCATCAAATTACCCGAAACTAGTTTCTGCTGAAAGAAATGCCGGTTCATTTTCTTGCTCCTCAAGCAGAAAAATATTTACAATTCAATACGTTATTTCATGAAAAAAAAGGTTTCGGTTTCAACATATCCTGCAGTGTTTTTTTCAAAGTGGCTCATCAAGAATTTATTTTCTTTTCGACCGCGGAAACAACGCCAATAAACTGTCGCCAAGTTTCGCTTCATGAAATCGCAATAATTTGGCAATAAAAATAGTCCATGCAATTATCTTGTTTAATTTTCCACAGGTTGACTAGCACTCATATCGGATATCGGTTTTGTGTTGGTAAGAAAGCTGAATTTAGTGTATTTTAGTCTCTGCGGAGCAGCAGCATCTTGTTTCAGAACGTCCCAAAAAAGCACACTATGATATATGATGATATATTTGGCATCAACACCTGGTAAATCATACACGTTCATAATTATTCAAGGTTAAAAGGAGACTTCTTTGTCATAGAGGACACTTCATATCAATAGTTCATATATTTTTTGGTCAAAAAAGGAGGTGAATTGAATCGGGAATTTATGAGTGAAACAGTTCATATATTTTTTGTCAAACAAATGTTGCATCAGGATGTCATAATATCAAAAACAATTCACATGTTTTTTTTGCGTGCAGGAAGTAAATCAGTAAATTACATCTTATATTATACGCTTATATACAGGAAAATCAGGACTTTGCATATTGAAGTTCATCTAGGGTTTCTGTCATCTAGCTTTAAGGGAAAATCCATTTCGCTGGAACTGGGGAAAACATGTGTTTTCATGTATTTTCGCAAACAAAGCCTTGTGAAATCAAAAAAAATCCAACTCTCCTGTGAAATGAACATCCCCATAGACACGTCACTAGCGTTGGTGACAGCTGTAAGGGGTTGCAAATTTCGCGTTCTGCTACAACACTATCTTCATTAAATTTGAGTTCCCAGAAAATGTGATTATGTGTTTTCTTGAACTTTTCATGAACAAATTTCACTCCGCCGCCAACCCATTTTTTTTAGCTCACTGTTTTGGCTAGTATTGTTTTCTGCCTTGATATGGCTTGATTATAAGACTATGATGGTGGTAACATGTCAGAAACAGTTTAAACATGCAAACATGATGGTGGCGACATTTTGTCCTATATACTTTTAAATTTTCAGTAACTGAAAAACTGATGGTGGCAACAGTGATTCACCATTTGAATAAAAAACAAACTGAATTATGTATATATATATATATAAACATATAAGATCATGATGGCAACCGCATTTCGTCATCAATATTTGGAATTGTTTTATTCTGGCTACAGCGGCTACATCATTTTTTTTTGATTTCACTTTTTCACCTTCCCTAAAAAGACCAGAGTGTGCCCCGGGGGGGTTCGAACTGTTCGATTCGAGTTCGAACTGCCATCCTAGGTGTGCCTCGAGGGGAGGGGGGGGGTTCGAGTTCGAGTTCGAGTTCGAGGGTTCGAGTTAACCCGGGGGGGTTCGAACTGTTCGATACCAGTTTGAACTGGCTTCGTACGTCTGCTTCGGAGGGGATGGGGGGGGGGAAGTTCGAGTTCGAGTTCG